TTTTCCCCACATTAAGTATTAGTGTTTATTCAGGGACAACAGCATGACTGTCCTCAGGATGGTTCCAGTCTGTTCTGATTACCCCTGCACGGAGGAATAGGAGGGTAAGGATCCATTGCGGGCACACATTGCAGGTGTCATGGAAGACCACAGATTCCAGGACCTCTACGGCATTTCCCCAGAAGTTGTGTCAACACCAAATTGTTTTGACTTTTCCCTTCAGCTGTGCCAGAAAAAATAATAACTTCCTTTTAGAATTTGTGGGTCAGAATCTAGGTTATGCAGAGCTTTATGTAAGCCAGCCAAAAGTTTCTTTTGCAGAATGAAACCACAAAAGTAAATATGGTGGGGAGTTACTAATATTCACAAGGAAGAAGGAAGTTTGGCAAACAAAATGTCAAAGGAATTTTTGATGGAGAAAATAGTCAAATTCCCTTCTTTTCCCCTGTTAAGAGAATTTTCTTTTTAATTTAACCCTTTTAAAACTCAATTAGAAAACACTTTCAGCAGAAAAGTAATACACAATATATTTTACATATATATATGTAATAGCTATCTATCTACCTTTGAAACTAAAAGATATTAACATTTCATTACATTTGCTTCATTTTTAATTTTAAAAAATCATAAGATTACTAAAGTCCCATTCACCAGTCCCATTCCCACTCCTCTGTCCAAATCGTCCAAAGGTAGAGCCATCCTTATTAATCTTTGAATCTTTATCCTACACGCATGCTCCTATAAGTGGTATTTAGTGCTTCATTACCGATATAAGTGGATTTGTACTGAATGTAGCCTCTTAAGTCTGTTTTTACTGGAAAGGATGTTTTAAAGGCTTACTCAAGTTAATCCCATTGGACTGAATTGTGTCATTTTAACTCAGTCTCCTTGCATTGGTCATTAACTGGGCTATTGAGAATCAGTCACTGTCTCCACATCTTTGCCCTTACCAGTAGTACAAAAGGGTTTTAATAAGATGAGATCCCAGTTGTTGATTCATTGTGATAGTTGCTGTGTAATCAGGGTTTTATTCATAAAGTCTTTGCCTACCCCAATGTATTCAAGACTGTTACCTATTCTATCTTCTAGCAGATTTAATGTTTCTGTTTTAATATTTAGATCTTTGATCCATTTCAAATTTAATCTAGTGCATGGTGAAAGATATGGGTCCAATTTTAATCTTTGGCCTACGCAGAGCTAGTTTTTCTGGCACCGTTTATTAAAGAGGCTATCTTTCTTCCAGTGAATGTGTTTGGCACCTTTGTCAAAGATAAGGTGGCTAAATATGTCTGATATTGTTTCTGCATCTTCTCATCTGTTCCATTGATCTTCAGGTCTGTGTTTTTTCTTTTAGCCAGTACCACTCTGTTTTTATCATCATAGTTTTATGGTGTAATTTCAAGTCAAGGATTGTTTTACACCTTGCCTTACCTTGGTTAGAATTACATTTGCTATTCTAGGTCTCTTCTGGCTCCAAATGAATTTTAGGATTGCTTTCTCTAATTCTGTGAGATATGCTATTGGAATTTTGATCAGAATTGCAATAAATATGTATAACAGTTTTGGAGGTATGGTCATTTTTATTATATTGGTCCTTCCTAGCCAAGAGCAAGGAATGTCTTTCCATTCTCTGATATCCACTTCAATCTCCTTGTTCAGAGTACTGTAGTTTTCAATATAGAGGACTTTTATATTCTTTGTTAGGCTGATTCCTAGGTATTTCATTTTTTGGAATGCTATTGTGAAAGGTGTGGTCTCCCTAGCTTCTCTCTCAATGAGTTTATTATTTATAAACAGGAAGCCTATTGATTTTTGAATTTTGGCCGTGTATCCAGTTAACTACTGAATTTGTTTATTAAATCTAGCAGTTTTTAGTGGCTTTGGGGGGCTTTTCTATGTAGAGTGTCATGTCAACTACAAATAATAACAATCTAACATTTTTTTTATTCCTTTTATTTCTTTCCCTTGTGAAATTGCTCTGGCTAATGTTTCCAGAGCTACATTAAATAAGAGTGGAGACAGTGGACATTCTTGTCTTTTCCTGATTTTAGAGAGAAAGCTTTCAGTTTTTGTCCATTTAGTATGATGTTGGCTGTTGGTTTGTCATAGACGGCTTTTATCAGATTGAGATAAAGACCATCTATTCCAATTTTCTGTTAGATTTTCATCATGAATGCATACTGAACTTTGTCAAAAGCTTTTTCTGTATCTATTAAGATGATCATATATTTTTGTCCTTGGCTCTGTTGATATGGTATATTACATTTATTGATTTATATATGTTGAACCATCCCTTCATCCCTGGGAAGAATCCCACTTGGTCATGGTGTATAATCTTGATAATTTGCTGCATTCTGTTTGCTAGTACTTTACTGAGGATTTTTGCATCTTTGTTCATTAGGGAGTGTGGACTGTAATTCTCTTTCTCAGTTCGATCTTTCTCAGGTTTTGGTATCAGGGTAATGGTTGCTTTCAGGAATGAATTTGGGAGTATTTCTTCCCTTTCAGTTTCATTAAAGAGTTTGAGAAGTAGTGCTGTTGTTCTTCTCTAAGTTTCTTATAGAAAGCAGCAGTGAATCCATCAGGGTCTGGGCTTTTCTTTATTGGTAGGTTTTTAATTGCATCTTTGATTTCATTGATTGATATTGGTTTATTTAGGATTTTTATATCTTCTTGATTCAGCTTTGGTAATTCATGTGTATGTAGGAATCTATCCATTTATTCTGCATTTTCCATATTATTAGAATACAAACTTTCAAAGTACATACAGATCATCTTTTGCATTCCTGCAAGGTGAATTGTGCGTTCACCCTTTTCATTCTTAATTGCATAAATTTAGTCTTCTTTCCCTCTTTTGATAAGGTTGGCTAAAAGCTTGTCTATTTTCTTTAATATTTCAAAGAACCAACTCTTCAAGTTATTGATTCTTTGCATTTTTTTAGTCTCCAATGTGTTAATTTCTGCTCTGACCTTTATAATTTTCTCCCTTGTATGAGATTTTGTCTTAGCCTTCTCTTCTTTTTCTAGAAGTTTAAGGTTCTTCATTAAGTTGCTTATTTGTGTTTGCTCTGTTTTCCTGATATGGACATTCACTGCTATAAATTTCCCTCTTAGGACTGCTTTCATTGTGTCTGATAAGTTGGTGTGGAATGTTGTATTGTTAGTATCATTTAATTGTAAAAACTCTCTAATTTATTCATTAATTTTGTCTCTGACCCATTGGTAGTTCAGAAGTGTGCTATTTAATTTTCGTGTGTTTATGAAGTTCATGTGGCTTCTTATGCCATTGATTTCCAATTTCATTGAGCTACACTCCGATACTATGCATGGGATAATTTTGATTCCTTTGCATTTACTTAAGCATCTTCTATGAGCTAGTATGTGGTCTATTTTGGAGAATGTCCAATGTGCAACTGAGAATATGTATTCTAATGTGAGGTGGAACACTTTGTAGACATCTACTAAGTCCATTTGTTCAAAAGTTTGGTTCAGTTTTAACATTTCATTGATTTTTTTCTGTCTACTTGATCTGTCTTTTTGTGAGAGTGGGGTATTGAGATTCCCACAATATAATTGTGTTACTATTTATTTGATTTTTCATGACCATTACTATTTATTTTATATAGTTGAGTGCACTGGTATTTGTTGCATATATATTTGTGATTGTTATCTCTTCCTCTTGTATTGTTCACTTTACAAGGTTGTAGTGACCTTCTTTATCTCTCTTAATCAGTCTTGGCTTGAAATTCAATTTGTCTGCAAATAAAATAGCTACCCTTGCTTTTTTCTGGGTTCCTGTCCCATGGAGTATTGTTTTTATCCTTTAACTTTCAGTCGATGAATTTGAGTGAAATGTGTATCTTGTATGCAGCATTCTTTTGGTCTTGCTTCTTGATCCATTCTGCCACTCTGTGTCTTTTGATTGGTGAATTAAGACTGTTAACATTAGAGGTTATAACTTGTATGTATTGATTTATCCTTGTCATGTTATTTTCCTGTTGTTGGTTTCCCTTCTTTTTTTCCCTCCCTCTGTTTAATTGTTTGCCTTGCCTGGTGGATTCCTTCTGTTAGGGTTCATGGAGTTGTAGTCCTTGTTATCTCTTTCTAGAATGTCCTTCAAAACATTTTGGGGTGCTGGTTTTGTGATCACAAGTTTCCTCAGATGTTTTTTTGTCATGGAAGTATCTTATTTCTCCATAAGTTTTGAAAGATAGTTTTGCAGGGTACATCAATCTGGGTTGAGGGTTGTTTTTCTTTAGAACTTGGAATAATTTACTCCAAGCTCTCCTGGACCTGAGGGTTCATACTGAGAAGTCAGCTATGATTCTGATGGGCTTTGCTCTGTAGGTGATTTGTTTCTTTTCCCTAACAGCTTTTAAGATTCTATTCTTTGTTGAATTTCTGGAATCTTGACTATGATATGCCTGGCTATAGTTTTTTTTTGTTTTTTTTTTTTGTTTTTTTTTTTTATCATGGCTAACTGCAGTTCTATATGCATCACTTACTGTATGTCAAGATATTTTTCTCTATGAGGCAAGTTTTCTGCCATTGTGTCTGTAAACAGATTTTTTAAAAATATCATTTGTTGTATCTCCTACCTTTTCATTGACTGCAATCAATCTTAAGCTATTTTTCTTTGCCTTACTGAGCAACTTCTGTATTGATTTCTCATGATCCTTTGCTATTTTAAAGAAATGTTTCTTTTCATGATCACTAGCCACAAGCTTGTCTTCTTTATCTAATATCCTGGCCTCACATTGGCTAAATCTGCTGAGAATACTTTCAGTGGAATTTCTATTCTCCTAGGGGTCTGCTTGAATCGGCCTTATGGATTCCAATTCTTTCCTATGCTGAGCATTCATGGCTTCCATAATTTTCCTAAACTCTTTGATTTTTTTTTTGTCCATATGTGCTCTAGAGTCACTAAGCATGTTTTCACTGTGGACACCATCTCTGTAGTTATCTGAGAAATTATTTCTGATTTTATTTTTTTTCTACAGCCTCATTCAATTGCTCTGTTGTTACTACTTCAGAGAAACCAGGTAGGTGCCTTTCATATTGTTCCACCTCACTGTCCACAGGCTTGCCTTTAGTAAACTGGATGTCTGAGGCTACATCTTGTTTAAGTGTCTTCTCATTTTCTTTTCTTTGTTTGTAGTTTAATTCCTGGGGTGATGCTTATGATTTGCCTATAGTGGGTTGCTTTATTGCTAGTATCTAGAACCCTTAGGAAATGATGACTTTTCCAAATTATCTTCCAGGTATAGCTGACTTTTGCATTCTGAGCCTGTTGCAAGATCCTATGTCTTCAATTTCTTGAGGATGAGAAGTTCCTGCCTGCTTGGCCCAGCCCCTGGTTCTTTGGAACTGTGCCACAGTATTTTCTGTGACCCAGCAAATACTACAATTACAATTTCTGTCTTGCAATACCAGGAAGAACAGCTGTTTAGGACAATTATGTGACTTTTGGCTGTAGTTGTACCAATAACAGTAACATCTAACAGAGTCTAAAAGTGACAAACTGAGCTAACCATTAATTTTCCATCTTTAACCGTATGAATAGATTTGTGGTTATATAACAAAATCTAAAACAAACCAGAAAATAGTATGCAGTATACAAGTCCTCAATATGTCAATTTTGCACCCAGAGGTTAAAATTT